ACACACACACACACGTGCGCGCGCGCGCGCGCGCCCGCGCGCGAGTGCACACATACACACACATACACTTTTCCAGTGAGTCAATTGTTTTATACCTCTCTCTCTCTCTCTCTTTTTTTTTCCCTCTCTCTCATGTGTACACGTGGTGTATTGGTTAGGCTCTGCGCTGTTGTATGCAGAATACATGGGATAATTCCAAGTGGGGTTTTACTTTTTTTAAATTGTGAATATTCTTCTGTCTGCCAGGATACTTCATAAGTAGATGACATTCAGTTCGGGATGTTCCTCACTCATAGGCATTTACAATGTAATAATAATGATAATAATAATAGTAATAATAATAATAATAACAACAACAACAATAATAATAATAATAACAATAATAATAACAATAATAATGACAGCAAGCTCTATGCGCGTCACAATCTGTATTAATGTAATGTATACAAAGAACATATAGGCCTACATCTGTCCCCGTGGTTTTATGCACCCCGTATAATTTAGTAAAATTTGATCATTTTTTTGTGTGCATAATTTCTTATTCTTTTCCTTTATCAATCTTTGTTTAAAATAACAGAATCGCATAATTCACTTTTTTGGGCCCAGTTTGGATAATTTCAGAATTTTTCTTGCATAAAACGACGGGGACAGATAGATCTACATGTATATTTTATTCACTTTTTTTTTACTTTACCTTCACGTGTCAACGTTATAGCAGTTTCGAAACAATCTCAAATGGCTTAGTGAATAGCTAGTTTCCTAAAAATCCTCAGGGACTATATAATACATGTAGCCTACGTGACTTATAATGGCGAGTTTTTAACACCCCAGTAACCTGCACATTTACTCGACTCAGTTACGAAGTTCTCCCATAGCTCACTCCTACTCATATTCAAATTCCAGTGAAGCACAAATACTATTTTTCTCTTCTCTTGAAATGTTGTTTCGTTCTTTTTTTTTCTACTCCAGGAAGAAAGCTCATCGGAAGTTCTAAGCAAGTTGAAGAGTTTGCTGCAGAAGTAACGTGTGACGTCACCAGATGTTATGGCGTCGGCAACCGACGCAGTCGTGGCAAATACTCATCTCCATCATCTCGACAGACCATTTATAATTCATGACATTTGTTATGCACACAGTTCCGCATGTATGTTTTAGCATAAATTCCAGGCTGGGGACACAATTATTTCGTGCTTTGGGGGGAGGAGATCGTCAACACTTTCGTATGCAATCCAGATGGCGATTGTTGTGGGTCAACAAGAGATTCTGCAGACCATAATTCATATTTTGGGGCTTTCAGCATGTCGTGTTAGGATCTCAATTAATTACTACGAGTGCGGGTTTAAAATTAAAATAGAAATTGACGCTCCCGTTATTTCCCTTTAGTAGTATTTGCGCTGAGGGCGTTGGTTGTAATAATTACGGACCATTGTCAATTCTTTGAGAATAATATGAAGAGCGGGTGGTGATCCGTCTCTCTAATCTTGGTAGTACAAGCGCTGTCTTACTAGAAAACATAATTGGGGGGGGGGGGGGGTTACAATTTTGAGCATTGCAGGGGAGGGGGAGAACTAATTGCCTACAGACACATATCTATGAGACCCCATCATTGTCTTGACGTAAAATGTGTACATGAAACAATACATGTACCAAACCACCAAGATAGAACCTATCACCAAAGTAAATTGAGTTAATTGAGATCTCCTTTGAATAAACCAAAGCATGAGCCAAGAAGAAAAACACAAGAAACGAAATCCTTGTTTTCGGGTGGGGGGTTGTTTACACCAGGAAACAATTAATGTATCGCACCCTGTCCAAACTGATTATGTCTCATGAGGATTAAAGCTGGTCACAGGTCACAGGTCACTCAGTATCTCCCGTGTTCATTTCATTTGTCGTTTGGTTTTTTTTTGCGACTGTTTTTTTTTTTAAACTTAAGTTTTAGTTTGTTTGTTGTTGTTGTGTTTTTTTTTAGTAAGAGATTTAAGGCACTTGCAACACAATTAGCTCATGTAAAAACCTAAGATTTTTTTTTTAAAAAGAGGTTTTACGGCGTTCGCAACTACATACAATGTAATAAGGTCATATGAGCGCCAAGGGGTGGATGTCAAGAGAAAAGTCCTTACAGGGAATCCTGCTTACTCTACTCACGTCTCTAGCTTCAACAGCACAAAGTCTGCTTCGACTATCAAGGCACCCCGGAAATAGCGGGTCACGAGAGTGTGACAAACATACAAAAGAAGTAGAGGAAAATGACGATACATGTAGGAAAGAAAAAGCATCAGTTCTCTGCTGTAATTCAGGCACAGTTATGAGCATGATATTGTTGGATCAGCCCATTTACAATTCTACTGTGCATTAGAAGGAGAAATGTTCCCCCTTTGGGAACCTAAGATTTGAGGTGTCACTAGATAGTAACATAGAAATAAAGGAAGGAGGAGAGACATATAGACAATAAATGGTAGATGGGAAAGAAGGAGCGAACCATACCGGGGCACCTGCCAACCACCCTCTTATGTGACTGCTTCGTAGAATTGTAAATGTACTGAAAGGGACACAACATCCCAGCGGAAAGACAAAGATCAGTTCAATCTATACTCCTTCATAGTGTCCTGAAGAGATGTCTACAACCACGAGGAAGCCGTGTCATGTACACTACAGCAAAATGTATACCTGAAGTCGAACAAAATCCGGACAATTTCAGGAATCTTGATTTCCAGCGTTTAACATTTAAAAAACTTAAGTTTTGAAGAGTTTTACGGCACTTGCAACGCAATAAGGTCATCATAAATGTTGAAGATCAGACGTGTTATAAAGTAACCACACGAGAGTAACAAACACTCGCGATATAATTAGTAACACGCACAAGAAGAAAGAGAAAACAGAGATTTACAAGGGTGAGAGATGTCTGATAGATAGGCAAAAAGGAGCAAATCACACCAGAGCACCCACCTGGATTTCCAGAATAATCCAGAAATTCAACGCCTCTGACGATCCTATATTGACTTATGTGTTTTACGGCGCTCGCAACTGCATAGGGTCATATGAGCGCGCAGGACACATAAAACATAAAACATTTTCAGTTGGTAGGAAATTTTGAATTTGCCCGGGTGGCGGCGGAAGCCTATTCTTATCGATTTTAGACCACCAAGAGATCTTTTACGCGCGCAACTTGCACACGGGACCTCCGGGATTTTTCGCACTTGTCTGCTGAGAAGGCTAGGTGTAGATCTTTCCTAGCAGAAGAAGGTGTAGATCTTTCCTAGCAGAAGATTAGGGGTGTGACTGAAAGACAGCAGTAAGAAGGAGCAAAGGAGAAGCAGTAGAAAGGCTGAAGAAAGAGTCAGGAGCCCAGAAGGAGGTGATGGGGTGGGGGCAGAAAGTAGAGACGAAAGCAGACGACAGAACACTGCAATAGAGCAGGAAAGGGGGTGAAAGGAGACAATTTTGGGGAGAAGAAAATTTTTCCACCTAAACCTCTAGACCATGAGAGCCCCCCCCCCCCCCCCCCCCCCCCCAAATTTTAAATGGGGGAAAAAACAAAAACAAGTAACACATTTGCTTAATAACTTTAAAATGTACCGGAGTGGCGTGTCTTTATTAGACATTTAGAAGTACAAGTAACATAAATTATGTCACCACACGTACAAAGATAACAATTCAAGGACATAAAGACAAAATGTACACACATTGCTCCGAGCTTAATTAAGTTTTATTTTAGTAAGAATTTTTAATTTAGTAATGAGTTATACGGCATTTGCAACACAAATACATCATATAAGTGCCAAAGATTAGAGATCATAATGTTAAAATAAAAGTGTTGTTTTTTGTTTTATTTTAGTACAGGTTTTACGGCGTTCGCAACTCCATAAGGTCATATGAGCGCCAAGGGGTGGATGTCAAGAGAGAAGTCCTTACAGTACAGGGAATCGGGCTTACTCTGCTCACCTCTCCAGCTTTAACAGCACAAAGTCTGCTTCGACTCTAAGGCACCCTGGAAAGAGCGGGTCACAAGAGAGTGAAAAACATACAAAAGAAGTAGAGGGGAAATGACGATAGTAAGGATTAGGAAAGAAAAAGCAGCAGTTCCCAGTTGCGGTTCAGGCACAGTACAGTTATGAACATGGTTATTGATGAATCAGCCCATTTACAAGTCTACTGCGCATAAGAACATGTCCCCCCTTTGGGAATGGCCTAAAGACACTTCAGTCAAAGTAACAATAACATACAACAAGAAAACAAGGAGTGTAGGAAAGGAGAAGAGATGAAGGGCGATACACGTTTGATAGAAAAGGAGCTAACAACACCAGAGTGAAGTAAGAAGACGAAAAAAGTGTATGGTTTTAATGTCCTTATCAACACTAATTAAGGTATTTAAGAGGCGAGACCTCCAAATTCAACGCTTCTCCGATAGGATCGAGCCAAATTAAGACAGACAGAAACAATAAAGTGAAGGGAAAGCAAAGAAGTAGGACCTGCAGCGGCATAATCCAGCCACCGAGCAATAGCAATACATTATTAATTCAATAGGTAGCAGCAGTACTGAGGTAGTAGTAGTCACACAGCAGTACTGAGGTAGTAGTAGTAGCAGTACTGAGGTAGTAGTAGTAGCAGTACTGAGGTAACAGTAGTAGTTCAAAATTGTAGTTGCAGCAGCACCAATAGTACAAGCAGTCAATGCCATGTACAGGAACAACAGACATTTAAAAAAAAAGAATTTACGTGTTTTATAATGCTACCATTGACACAATTTAGGCCATTTAGGATGCGGGCTTTAACCCTGTCTGATAGGGTCAACCCGGCAGAGAGGGAAACACACTCAAACCATGTTATTCGAACAAAATAAATAACACAAACAAAAAAAAACAACCCGTTAGCCGCTCGCAGCAAAACAAGATTCTAAGAACTACCCGGTACTCAATACTAAAAAATGAGCTATGGTACATAACGTACTGATATAATAATATGCAAGACCATGCACTCTGGCGATATTCCAGTTCACCATGGAGTACACCATTTTTTACTCTATTTCAAACCAAAGGAACAGCAAAGGGAAATGTTTGCGTACACTCGACTGCAGCCAGGCTGGTGTTTTGACCTTCATTTGGGCGTCCATCTTGCATTCCAGCGCCCAGAGTTTATTATGTAGAGCAGCAGGCATGACAGTGCAGTCTAAGATAATACAATATAACACGGATAGCTCGAACTCGAATTCGTCGGGACCGGCCTCGGTAGTTCGAGGGATCCGTACTTCCCAGGGATATCTTACAAAGATAAATAAGAAGGAAAGGAAAAAAAAACACGGGACAGTTCGACGGAGGCATGATTTCAAGTCTTCTGTGTTCGACCTATCCCCTTTAAACTGTATTGTAATTCAAAGGCTTATGTGTACACACGTCTTGCTAAAAGTCAAAGTCAGTCCAGTAACAGTGACTATCCTGGCACTGGATTCCGTAGAAAATTCTCCCAACAAATCTTTCCTTATCCTTTCTGACTCTCTCATAGCCACTTTGCATTTTCTGTAGGTTTACAGTACAGCATTGCAGCACATACAGATACTCGATAAAATAGACAAGACAACATGAGAATCAAACTCAAGTCTTTAGCAAAGTTGATGGCAAAGTGCCTATTAACATTATTAATAAATTATTTGAATAACTTAACATAAGACACCGGTAGTTCTAGTTTGCGGAAAGTTTTATGGCACTCGCAAAGCATGGGGTTATGAGCGCGTGGGACTCAAGTTGGTTCACAGAACAGCTTGGTTTTACTTTACTTTATGGTTGAAGTTAATAAAATTATTCACTGCGCAAATAAATATAAAAGTAAAGTATGTCATGTACATTTTTAGAAAAGTACTCTTTAAATCTCTACATTCTGAAGTAACGGTCACTGGTCTTTATAAGATCAAAAATTATCTTGAGATCAACTATGAAGAGCAATAAATTCTCTTCAAAATTAATTATTTAATTAAAATTCAGGATTCCCCAAAATGTGGACATTAGGATGTGCCTGACAGTTATTGGTCAAGCATCGCATCCAACACAAAATGGTATTCCATCTTCCTGCAGAAGGTATGTCCAATATGTAATTCTGTTTAAAAAAACTTTTTCTTTTATTTGAGAGATCAAAACATTTTCATCATGAATCAAACTTGAGCTTTACCGGGTACCGGGTATACTGTGGAGTTTACTTTGTACTTGTTCCCTCAATTGTTCCTCATGACTCACACAGACTAGAGGTATAGCTTTTGAAATTATTGGTTTGTGAGAGAGAGACACCGGTAGGATTGGTCAACGGAATGTATGCAAACATCAAGCTAGCTATTGACACAAATTAGATCATTCAGGAGACAGCCTGCTTTAACACTGTGTAGTTGGGGCCAACCTGAGCTGAAAGGGATAATGTATTCTAGTGTAAAGACAGAGCATACTCAATAAAATAAAGACTTCCTTACTAGTACTACTTGTGATGAAAATCACACCTTCTGCGTGGAATGGTAAATGAGTCTAAGCATTACCCAGTTAGCCTATACCTCAAACATCCAAGGATTCAGAACATATTATATCAAAATTAAAATAAAAGTATGAGAATGAGATGCCTCTAAATAAGTTTTCCTGAGTCATAATCGCTCACAAATAATAATAGAGTCTATCACTATCAGGCCAATCCCGGCTAAGAATGATAAAACATCTCAGAGGAAAGACCGAAACACTCAATATAAATTCTCCTCTCTCGGAATTCAAATTTGGGTCTCCTGCATGCCACAGAAAAGCGCCTAACCACAACAGCACAGATGTCGGTGGAACAGATTTGAAGTTACAGAGAAGGGAAATTTCAATGAGACACACCACCGTATGTAACACAGAAAAGCTGTAAAATGAATAGAACCCAACTAAAAGTACATCCAAATAATCACAAAAGGTAAAACAAACTTTCTCTTTATCATCAAACAATGGAATGAATGACTCACTGACAGCAAACTTCAAAAAAATAGAAAAGCAGAGCAAAATGTTTCACAATGCCCCACTTTCAGTATTGAAGTGATGGGATCTTCCACTGAAACTTCTGAATAAGAAAGTGGGTACACTTTGAGTTTAGCGACATCTGCAGTGGTACTGTTTTTATTATTTTAAACAACCGAGTTGATTCTATTATATCATATATTAAAATCAATTTGTAACAAATAGCAATATATGACTGTAAGACTGTAAGTATTTCATTTCACAACACCAGTACAACTAAAAATAAAGTAGTGTTTTTTCATACAGTGCTCCCATGAACATAAAGCAAACATGATACAATATAGCAATATATGACAAAAATGCATGTGTACTTCAACAAACAATAAACAGAGAGTTGAAAGAGAGAGAGAGAGAGAGAGAGAGAGAGAGAGAGAGAGAGAGAGAGAGAGAGGGAGAGGGAGAGAGAGAGAGGAAGAGAGAGAGAGAGAGAGAGAGAGAGGGGGGGGGATGTATGTTTGCATCCTGTCATTTTGTCCAGTAGCATGAATGCAGAAAAAGCCTTCCATGTTTAGTAAACATTTAACAGCACTTGCAACACAATTAGGCCATATATCCTGAGTCTGAGAATTAAACTTGTTATAGGAGAGTAACAAACACAAAAAAAGGAGAGATAAAAAAGAAAGAAAGAGCAAACCCCAGCAGATCTGCCAATAACCCACAAAAACATTCCACAAATTACCCACTCGAGGTGACTTGGACTCCTTAAATTACTCAGGACGGTGAACATAAACTCAAGGTAACACTAATGTGGTTTTAACGAAGATGTCAAAAAGTTCACGGAAGGAAAAAAGAAATGAAAGGAAGCAGGGCTGACTGAAAGAAGCCAGCTTGTGACGGTCAGTAATAAAACAATAAGGAAAAGACAAATGCAGTTCCTAGGACACTTGAATTGACAAAAGCCTAGATAAATAAAAAGGCAAAATAGACAAAGGTAGTCCAAGAATAATCTCAGTGAACTTTAAAACACATTGGTGACAAAAATTACTAGAATAATATTGCCAACGTGTTACCTTATATGGCCTTAGAAGTAGAAGTAGAAGTCAGATTTAGGGCAAAATGAAACTGATCCACCACAAGACCCATTGACATGCTAACTCTTTGAAGACTTGCCCACTTTCCTTTTCTCGATACCCTGTGACGCACCTTCTTTACTTTACCCATTTTAACCTCACAATACCAGTTTTACCTTGATCAAGGCTGCAAGATCACTATAGTTGCCCTCAAAAGAAAAATACATTTGACCAGATGAGACTTGGGGGTCAGGTATGTCTAGATCTACCAACCAATTGTACGGATTCATCATCACTATCACCTGAACTTCTTCTTCTAACTCTAAATGTAACTCCTCATCACTGCAATCATCCATACTCTATTCCAAAGCTTTTTCAGTCAGAATCAAAACACGTCGCCTGGAGCTCACCATTATGGATAAAAACTGCTGCATTTCAACCGAAACAATTGGCCTAAATCAAAAGCCATGCAAAGCTATAGCTATCCAATCCTAACGCAAATAAAGAAAATCAACCAAATGATTGGGTTTTGGATGAGCTTTCCAGTGATATAGGGGTTGCCCTGGAGTCCACCTTAGAGTTAGACCAATAGCTTAGCAAATGAACACGTTTAAAATTGTCAGCGGATTATCCGCTGACACAGCGGCAACAGTAGGTTCTCCTATCAGCAGAATATCCAATGACGCGTGTTCAAAGAGTAAAGGAGAACTGTAGTGGATCAATTTCATTCTGGTCTATTTCTGACAGGCAAAAAAAGGTAGCACCTTGACGATATTGATTTCTTGAAGGAAATGGGTGGTGAGGCATGATTGCCAATGTCTGTTTCAGATGCTTGATGATGATGGAGAGAAGAAAAAAAAAACCCAACCGTACTTCAACTACAGGCACTCACTATTACAATATAAATATCTTTCACATTATAAATATATTTCTAAAGTATAGAGAGGGAATCATCATAGCTGGGACCAAAGTTCATGCAGTAAAATCTTGGGAAATTTTTGTTAAACTGTACAATTGGGCTAAACGTCAATTATTTACAGAATGTACAACCATATTCTTCAAAAACAAAGAATTAATGGGAAAGTCCTCTATAAAAATAAATACTAGCCCTAAAAATGTCATGAGGTTTTGATATGGGTACACAACACATTTTGACTATTCTAACAGTACACGCAGTTCAAGACACACATTTAGCTGCCAACTTTTAAAAAAAATAAATTCTTAAAGTAAAGACTAAATCAGTATGGTGAGCATGGGACTTTTGGGCTTCATTCTCATTATTATCCACAAATCCTGTTTCGAAAGTTCATAATTTTCCTTCAGCATTCGCAAGTTGGTGAGGAGCAATACTAGAAAACAGAATATGCAATTTTGCTATAAAACGTACTCACATACTCAGACAATCCAAACTATTCAAAACGTTTTTTATGCATTGGTTAATAGCAAGATTCTATGCAAACATGATAATAGTCGTGAGCCTAGGATTAAAAAATATAAACATTACTCAAACTTTTCTTTGCTATAAAGACAACAGCTGTCCAAAAAATTGTCAGTTAACAAAGACGCCGGTAAAGATCTTTGAGTAGATAAACGGCTTGCTGGTATACAACAACATTCCAGCAAATAGACAGAGATACTCTAACAATTCTGCCCATTTGGGACTCATGCTAGAAACTGCCAAGCACCTGTCAGGGTTGATATGATCCTGTTTACATAAAATTGTTTTTTAAAAAAAACAACTCATAACAGTTCCAGCAAATTCATAATGATAAGCAGTCCTGGTATCAAAATTTCATTCGTTAAAGATATGCAAGCTGTAAATAAGTATATTTCTAAGAATAAAACATTCTTTGTTAAAAATACAGTTAACTCTCTGAATCTGTGATATAAAACAACAGCCACAGTGTCAGTAAGGTTTGCACAGACTGACCTCAGGAAGCTACCTGACATCCTGTCGTGACATACAATACTCAGGTGTTAAAAGTCAGGAATGGAAACTGATCAGTCGGAAATTTACTGAAAGTCAGAGAGAGAGTGAGAGAAAGAGACAAGACCAGAGAGAAAGAGACAGGACCAGAGAGAATGACAGAGAGAGAGAGAGAGAGAGAGAGAGAGAGAGAGAGAGAGAGCGAGAGAGAGAGAGAGAAAGAGAGAGAGAGAGAGAGAGAGAAGAGAGAGAAGGGGTGAGGGGAGGAGGGTTGATAAAGGGTAGAGACGGGGGAGAACAGGAGAGAGAGAAAGATAAAGAGACAGAAATAAAGAGAGAAAGTGAGAGAGAAGAACTTTCTGTGAGGAGAAAGGAGACAGGACGTCAGGTCCCACTAACGGAAAAAGACGGAGCAAATCAATATTACGGATTTCCATAAATCTACAGAAAATTTCCATTCCTGTATAGTATAGCCAGGTACAATCATACAGTTGAAAATACCCTCAAGCTTTTGCATTGAACAAAAAATAGTTAGTTACAAGTACATTACAAGTACAGCCAAACTTTCACTATCAGCCACTATTCAAACAACCACTTCTCACTCCCTCGCCCCCCCCCCCCCCCCCCCCCACACACACACACACAACCATTGCGTTTTTGTTTTCTATACTACAATGGCACTGTACAAAATGCCCACCTGTCAATCACAACCATTTTTCTCCCTGACGATGCGTGTCCATTTTGGACAATTTCAATGGTAGTTGAACTGAAATTGCAACAATAAAGCACAAAACTTCATCCCCACCTCTGTCCATAGACAATGGAAAGTGTTTTGTCTCTGGCCTATACCCTACTGCAGGATGAGAAAGGCAATCATGACGACCTCTCTGTTCATCTTTTGATATTTCACATATCGTAAATAAACTTTCAGTTGGAAATCATGGGAAAACATTAATAGGACATTTGAGCTTGACAATGAAAAAAAACCAAAAAAACAAAGTATGTGCACAAAGAAAGTCATTTGAGTTCAGGAGGCTATCTCAGCTACTGTCGCTGTCATCAGAAAATGAAAGTGTTTCCGCCAGCCCGCCGAGAATGTCCTGCCTCAGACTCTCTAGCTTTGTCTGCAGCTCTGAGTGATCCTTGTCAGCATCTATAACCTGGTGGAAGAAGATCATCATCTTAAATAAGCAAAAACCACAAGTTTTTTAAAATGACGTTTCATTAAGAGTTTTACAGTACTTACAACTAACATAATCAGTTGGTATAATATTAGTGCCAAAGATTAGAGGTGTTACTTGAGAGTAACATGCAAAAGAAGGTGATTGTGATTACAGGTGTTTGATAGAACGCAGGGTAGTAGCTCCAGTGCCATAACTCGGGGTTTTAGCAAAAATCACTTTCTGACATAAGTATTCCAAGGCACTGTGAAGGGGTGTTGTGCATGCTCTGTAAAAACCTCACTAGAGTGATTATGTACACTTTAAGTTGAAGTTCCAGGTACTGTTGACACAGTGGTGGAAAATAAGTTATTTTTCTCCCATAAAATTTCCAAAACCTGAATTACGATAGTTGTGCTGCTATCTCGAAAGAATAAAAGGTGCAAACCATGCTAGAGCACCCGCCAACCACCCATGAAGGAGAAAATTGAGTTTGAGAATAGAAAAGCACATAAAAGCAAAACAGTTATTTAGTGAGTGCTTGGAAGAAGCCAAACAGACAGACAGAAACTACAGACGAACAGAAAAGAGGTCGGACCACGCAGTAGTGTCCTCCTCCAACAACCAGAGATAAACAAAAGAAAATAGAACTCTTCATTTCCCCCCCCCTGTATTTCTAAAAAAAACTATTGATTAGCCAAATACAATGCTCCTGTTTTTATTCAACATAAAAACAATCACTTTGAGCTAGGGAAAAAAGTGAGATCGACAAACAGCACAGGGAACGAAAGGAAGTGTGACCAATCAAGTGACACTTACAAACCTTCCACAATGACATTCTTTGAACCCACAACAGTGCAGACAAAACTGATTAAAAGCAGATCAGAGCACTCAACAAGCACCCTTTAGGAAAAAGCAGAACAGACAAAAAACATACTGTCAGTAAGCTGTAAAATGCAGGACTGCCCACCAACCAACATAATATGTTTTACTAATCAGCAAATTTAAACAACAGAGTAATTTCACTTAAAATTCGTGAAATATGGCCATGGCTCGCCTTCTTTCCAGGGGTGTCAATGACAGGGGTTGTTGTCAAGCAAGAATAAAAAACAACAGTAACGCAAACAAAGGCATGGTGAAAAAAAAAGCGGTCTTGACGGACGGACTCTTCATTGGAGAAGTTAAGGGAAAAAAGGGGCACAAAAGGGGGCAATTGTATTAAGTTTCAAACAATGAACAATGATCCATTTGTTAAAAAAATCTCTCACTGGCCTTGACTGTCACACACAGCACAAAAAGACAGGAATTTGTGAACACCGTGTTGACCTAATGTTTACCTTACTTCTAGATTCTGTACTTTTATAAGTCTAATCCTGTTTTTTCTAATGGTAAAGTGGCACTGAGCAAATACAAGGGCTCACGGCAAAGAGGATGCTAAAGTTAGACATCTGTGACGTAGACTGTTGGGTCTGGGGGTTTGCCTCCTCTTAAACACCAGGAAAACAGATACCAGATTTCAAGTGTGATGCGATCGAGAAGAAGAAAGAACACCAGGATGGTTGGCAGTGAGTTGGGATAGCCGAAATTTTAAAAAATTGGAACCAGGGGCACTATGATCGTATTTTCGTAAAATTGAACAAAAATCGTGATGATTCTGCCAAATTCGTAAGGATGGGCAGCCTTTAAAATGTATTGTATTACGCCCAGTGAGTAAAATTTCATAGGAGAAAAAACTTTTTTATTACATTATTTCCCCCCCCCC